CATCTGTTCAGTGGATCATGAGATATTTTGCTTACAGACAGACGAGGTTGACTCCATATAGTTAATGGCAAAAATTTAAACAGGTTTTGGGGATCAGTTCCTCATGACCACATCAAATTTCAGGCTAATGTTTGTGAAATAGACTGAGAGGCATTTTTTGTTTTCAAAGAATAATTGAATGTAGCAGCCAAACTGAACTGGGAACCTTGAAAGTTGTTGAGTTGAAAAAGTCCACTCAGTGATAACATTTTGCAAGTTTTATTAACATTTCTTTAGTGACTCATTAGACTGTTAATGGTAAATGGAATGTACTTATATATCACCTTTCTATCTTATCAAGATACTCAAAGTTCTTTACAACACAATCTGTGCCCTCATTCATACATCACTCTACTAGATCTATACAGAGAATAATCAGAGCTTTATCACATTCAGACACTGATGGGACACACATCGGAGGCAGTGAGGGGTTCAGTGTCTTGCCCAGGGACACTTCAGCATGTGACTGCTGGTGGAATTGAACCCACAACTCTTGCACTGGAGGAGGACTGCTCTAACCACTCGGCCACAGCTCGGCCTGTCGCAATAAACAATAAATCAATTGTATGATAAATGAAAATGATCAACCTCATTTTCATTTATCAGCTTTATCGTTTCTTCCTGTCTCTCTTTCTACTGAAGACACTGGACGACAAAAGGCTCAACTCTGGTGTTCTTCACTGACCCCTCCCTTTTTCTTTTCTCTTTAAAATCCATTTTAACCGTCCAAAATCACGTTTTTGGATCGTTAAAAGCAGCTAAGCTGAGAAACTAAGTTACGAGCTAAGCTAACAGGCCGACCTCATTTCTCTTAAGGAGACACTGTCGGAGGAAGGCCCCTTGACATGACATGGGCTGTCTCTCCTTCCTTTTATCATTTCTCAAAATGGCAGATGCTCTGTGTGGTTTGAGTTCTTTAGCATAGCATTTTTCACACAAAGCTTTTAATTAAAAAAAATCAGTAAACAAGTTCTCAGCTTCTCTTTGCAGAGAAGAACAACTTTTTACACGAAGGCACGGGTTTCAACCATGAATTTGGAGCTTCGACAAAACGGAGTTTTTTTTGTGGGAAATAATTAAATTGAATAAATTAGCTAAGTGTTGCATGGTCAATAAAAAAGGACATAACTTTAAAAAAAACATATTCGTTTTGTGTAGCATGTGTTAGTGACCATGGTTTTGTGTGTTTCAGCCTGGTGAGCTGATCATCTACTATGAGATGGAGGAAAGTGAAAGGAGAAGCTCCAGGGGGATTGTGGAGGTTTGTCCTGAGACCCACAGGTCAGTACTTTTCTACAGTATGTGGTGTTACAAGGCAAATATTCCAGTTTGTTTCTGATGCCAACCTGTAGCTGAGAATGTGTTGCAGATCTGGTTTCAATCTATTTATTTTTCAATTAGGATAACTCGTTTTCTGGAAAAACCTCAGGATGGACTGACTGCGTCTCGACTGGCCAGTGTGGTGTTTTACTGCATTCGGAGAGACACTCTGTCCTGCATGTCCGACTTCCTCCGCCTGCAGCCTCAAACCACAAACAGGACCTTTGGACAGTTTTGGGTTTGTAGCTTTTCTTCATTCAGGCAAGCATCTCACAAAACTGTTTTATCATGTCCCGATTTAAAAAAATCAGAACAGACATTTATCTTCATCTCTTGTGTCACCATGCAACAACTAATTATTGCTCGCTGTCAAAGACAAAAGAACATCAAGATTTTGCTTGTGCCTGTGTGGGTGTTTGTCTGCAGCATTAGCAACATAACTCATGTATGAGTGGACAGATTTGAATGAAACTGGATGAAACTTTAATGAAACTCAAGAATACTTATTGGCTGTATATCAGCAGTTTATTACCTTTCTGAAATCATCCCATTCCCAATGGCCGCCGCAGCTAAGTGACTTTAAGAAGCTCCTAAATGGCTATAACTCAGTCAGTTTTACAGAAATTAAGCTAATATTTACCTTGGTGAAGAGAGCTGTCAAGTGGTGAGTTGGATTTGGGGTACTGCCAAAAAAAACTTGGTAAACTGAAACATAATGCGGGTGAGCTGGAAATGGCTGAAGCCTTCTGCCTTCACCTCAGTTTTTCACACATCCCTAGGGCCGTCTGGAGCAAATCATTTAGGCCTTTTGTTTAGGTCCTCTATGCACATGTGGCTTTCAGGAGATGTGGTCAGAAAGTCATTGTTTCCTGTCACAGTGGTAACCAGAGGATCCATTGGTGAACACCAGCCGTTATGAAGGTCATCAAGCTGAAGAATAGGGACCTTATTCTTTCTATCTTTTTTCCATCTCTAAAGATTCCTGAAGCAGCTGACAGGTACATGAGGGCCGACTGCAACTTCTCTAGATGCAAAAGCCAAATCTGGGGTGAGGGAGGAATTTGGACAAGTCATGGAGAAGAACTTTTGATTGGCCCCAAGGAAGTTCTAGCAAACCATTCATTGTCTTAGAAATGGAACTCAATACTCAACACATTCTCTGAGAGCTAACACATATTTCAAGATCTAGGGATCCTCCCCAGAAATTTATAATTAAAGTAGATGCCATTTCCTGCATTCTTGTGTATTTTAACAGGTTGTTAAACATCTATGTTTAAGGAAACACTTGATTAAATTAACTATTTAAGAGTAGCCTGACCAACAGCTCTCCTTGTGTGAATAGAGTACACTTAAGCATCCTAATCCCCGCCCCCAGTCGACAACTGCCAGCACTAACGTAACACTAAGCTAGTGATGCCCAATACAGATGTGCTAGCTAAGATGCTACAGATGTAGCGCTCCTTTTTTCTCATGCATCGGTCAACAACTGCCCCACCAACGTAGCGCTAAATTAGTGTGCAACACAGAAGTGTCTCCCCCCCCACCACCACATTGTCGACAAAAAAACCCAAAGACATGAGCGCCCTGCCAAGCCAAGTGACCTAGAGAGGAAACACTGCATGCAGGAAGCACTACGTTCACTTTTTGGTACTTTATTTTTGTACTCTTATTGCATGCTTTAGTATTTGTTTGCTTGTTCTTTGATTTTTTAGTGAGTAAAATCGGTTCTTCTCATCCTAAGCATTTCATTGTACTGTTGACCTTGTGTTA